TCGTTGCTTGGCTCGCAGCGCTGCTTTCATCGTTTATCGCAGCTCCAACATAAACGTACCCTAAGGCCAGGGCTCCGCTGCGGGCCGCCGCTTTCGGCACGACCCAGCAGGGCCTCCGATCTCCGCCCTCGTCCAGCGCCTTCTCTCTGCGCCTCCTTCCATGCGCTCGTAGACGACGTGCACGTCGTCCACAAGCAGTTTTTTTTATCAAATTTCACTTCTCGTGCCTTGCCAACTGTTCCTCGTCTTTCACTTTCACCTCACAGTTCATTCAAACCAATGCATACTAAAATACTGCATTTCTGACCTTTTGAATAAATGCACGACGATTGCTTTCAACTGCGAATAACTCGCACGTTCTCTCTACAGAGCAAAATTTCCAGTCCTGACAACACTTATTTTCATGTCCTGATCCAACACATCATTTTCGCACCGCTGCCGAGGTATGAGTCGTTACAATTGCCCTCTGGTCAGTCTTCCTCTTCTACTTTCTCCTCGCTGACGTAAAGGCTACCTCCTCTCTCCCTCTGGTCAGTCTACAACACCGTCTAGAACGCGCCCTACTTACCTACTTAGCGCGGTAATTCACACGGGATCACACAAGCGTTCGCTCTCCGAATCCACATATGTTGTCACACACACACATATACATATACACATACACATATTGGGTCTTCAGCTTTACTCGCAACCCATGTCTGGCAACACCACTGTTTGTTTTGGCATTTTGACAACGCATGAAATACCTTTGGCATCCCTTTCACTTTTATTGACCCATGGCCGCGTGCCCTCAGATTTCGGGATGGGAGAATGTGGCTTGTTGGAAGTAAGAGAATGCACTCATTCTGGCTTTTTTACTCTTGAACATACTGCAGCTACTACACTGAAAAGAGTGAACGCCTGTCTCTTGGCACATGGTGATCACTTTGAGCATTTACGCGGTCAGTTTTTTTTATAATTTTAAAGAAATTATATTTTATTATTTTTTGTCAATAATTTTCAATAATTAATTTACTGCTTGTTTTATTGATATTTGTAGTAATTAGGTATTAAGTATTCTTGTTTATTTATTAAGCATTTAGTATATATTTTTGTATAATGAAGTATTTTATTAAGTAAGGTTTTATTTGCTTAATAATTAGAATTCAAAATAATAATATTATATTTTATAAATAATGAAGAGCTTGGCAGTGATGTTTCACGAGATATCTTAATTTCTTAATTATTTCTGCGCAGTCTTTCAATAAATACTTATTGTTAGGTTTATGTTAGTAAATCCGTAAATCAGTAATAACTTGCATCAACAGCATCAGTATTACAGTTTTGTTTCCTAAGCGTACGGGACAGATTCGCTTAATGAGACGCATTGTTTCCTGCTCATGTCCCGGCCCACCCCACCCCAAACTCTGTGCAGCTCGAAAATATTCTGGTGTGTAAGCCGGGTACTTGCTCACCAAAGTTCTTGAATGGGAAAAACATAGAAGCAAGAAAGTTGCTGCAGCTTATGACCTGATTGTCGCCTCCTCTGCTGTCTCGACGTGCCAGGCACGGCCGTCTTGAGTTGAACCAGAGACATGCGATTGCCAAATTACTGAAACAAGAACAAGTGCTGTCAGACAAGGGTTGCGAGTTAAGATAAAGACCATGTATTGTAACCTGTCGGGAAGTTCTGGATGCGGGATTGCAAGGCCAATAAAACATATATAATCTTACGACGCATTTAATTAACAATTAAGAAGATTATGAGGGTGAATGTGAGCATGCACTTGAATAATTGGTAAATATAAATTATTTTTCATTTTTCTTTGGATCAAAACAGACAGGATATTTTCCTGCCACAGAAAAATAACTTGCCGCCTCATTGAAACTACTCTTCTTCATTGACAGTCTCGCCCCGTTCATAGCGTGCAAAAGGGCGAGCGGGTGGCGCGCGTCAGCTCCCCGGCGTTTCCAGCAGCTGGCACCTCAGTCCTCCCGCTGACGGCCGGACACCTCGGCCACGCACACACCCAGGCGCCCTCTTGTCCTCTATGGCGATCAAAGCCTACCGCGACTATCACGTGAGGGTGGCTAAGGCACCCACGAACACAGTGATTGCCACGTAGAGGCTCCCAAGCTCAGGAGATCATTTCCGACGTTCAAGTGAACTTGCCATTTGAGCCTTCACGTAAGTGTTCGAACTCGAAGCACTTTGGTCATTAATCTGTGCACTCGAAGCGCTCTCTTTGTGAGTCTCAAACTCTATCCATCTCATCTCCGTCTCGATAACATCTCAGACTCTCTGTGCCTTAGCGGCCGTATCCCTCGGATAACGAAAGCTCGGAACTCCCTCCTGCCTCGCGCATCCTGCTCTCTGATTGCTCTGCAAAGACTTTGGAGGGCATTGACGGGGTGCTGACGAGCAAATAGAGTGCTAAAACCTTCACATTGAAGTATTGCCGTTGGCGTTCGGGGGCAACACTCGGAGCCCGCGCGCCTGAAGGGTGCGCCCTTTCTTTCTTGCGATCAAGGGCGTGCGACACAGAAACGCTCTCTGGGTTGTCTTCAGTTTCTCTCAGAGCGCGCGGCGGCCTTTGGAGTGGGCTGTCCTTGGCGACCGCGCGTGGCAGTGGCC